GGGTCATGCATTACGCATGTGTATACCGAGGCCATGTACGACGTGGCGTATGAGTAAAATTTTTTGCCGTCCCTATTTAAAAAAAAATTTGCATATCTATATAGATAATACGCGAAGGGATTTTTTGTTCAGGATAAAAGATCTGCACCGTTCGCTCATTTTTCAAAAATGGGGTGTCAAATTAAAACGTTTGGCCTGTAGATGTGCAATCTGGTTTTATTTTTTCGAACAGAGTTGCCACCTGTAGGACAATTGAATTTAAATTATTTAATAGGCAATGCCATAATAACCGCGCCGTTGGTTCGATTTTCCCAAATGAGGTGTCAAATTAAAAGGCTTGGACTGCAGACATGCAATAAGGTTTTACTTTTTTGATAAAAGTTGCCACCTTTTAAAGAATTATATTCAAATTAACTAAAAAAAATAGAATATTATCAATGGAAATGGTTTTCAAAATCTTTCTCTCTTAACTTAACTTTAATAGGGTTGCCACCTGTTTAAAAAATCAAATCAAATTTGAATTAGGAAAATTAAATAGGGGAAAAAATTCCAAACGAAAGGGACTCAGAAAGTAGCACTTTGAAAATATTTTGAAGTGGGTTGCCAGGCGCTAGGAATGCCGAAATAAGTTAACTTATCCAAAAGTTATATGGAATGTCAAAATATGGATGTCAAACGAAAGAGTATTAGGAAGGCTTTAGTTTAAACAATAAGAATATTTTTGAAGTGTTGGAAGAGGCTTGCCACATGTTGAAAAATTTATTTCAAATTATTAAATAAGTTAAATGTATTATTGAAATATGGGTATAATTCGAATGGGTTACGCAATTCATTTACGAGTGAATTTAAACCAAATTCGCTTCGAACCAAAATTAAACTTTGTAGAAATTTACTCGAAAATAAATTGTATAACCTGAAATATAAAGACCTTGCCTTTTTTGAAATTAGAACCTTTTTATCAGGTGATTTAAAATTTGATAATATTGAAAACCTAATAAGCGAAATGGCTGCACAGATTAAGAAGAAATATGACACTCGAATCGCTTATACCTTACTAACATTTGGAATAGTTTGAAGGCTTTTGAAATTCTATCTTCGGCGTTTTAATGCAGTGCGGGCTCACTAGTTTTTATTTAACCGTTCAAAAGAAGTTAACGTATCCATCGATTTTCACCGCTAGTAGCTTGATTTTTTGCAAAAGAATAGGTTTTAATAAAAATTAAAAAAAAAACAAATGATTTGTTATTCTTTGAATTTTTTCATGGGAAAATGACCTGGTCTGGAAAAACGGTATATATATCCGTAATTTACGACCCAACCTTAAGTTAACGTGTTTCAGCGTTTTTTTGTGTCATTTCAAAACTTAAGATTTTCCTTACAGTGTAATAGTTGGGCGGTGAAAAACTCTCGCGACGAATTTGTTATAAGAGGCTAATCAGTATGAGGGGTATTTCATTTAGTTAACTCATTTTACGAATTGCTTTCTGAGCTTCCTCTTCATTCAAGCTCAAAGCGTAGTTTGTATTTCGAAGGCCCTGAATACCGCATTGTTTTTCGCGGAAATACAGCCACGCCTAGTACATTAGGGCAGGAGTCCTTGATATTATTCGATTTTAATAAAATTCGGTTGTGTCTTAGTTTTAACCAGAAACACTTAAATATGAAAAATTGCTAAGAGCAGTATACTGTCACGCCTACCGGCCACATAACAACCGATAAAGAAAATAAATAAATTTTATTAAAATCTATAACATTTTATATATCTACATACATACTTCTTCATTACTTAGCAGAAGTTAAACATAGCAAATTTCAGTGAAATCGTATTACAATTACTATTTTTTGCCGCAGCAGTGTGAGTGTGAAGCCTTCGGTCCATGGAAGATTATCTAGCTAATATTTCGAGGCACTTCGAAATTTGAATTTTCTGCCGCTCTCAGACCACCGCGTGCTTTGTAAGGCTCTAGAGTATTTCGTGTGAAAATCGCATCAATAAAGGCTGACATTAAATGCTTAATAACTGTCATTAAAAAAGATTTTAACAATACATATACATATATCAGCAAAGTGAAATTAGCTCTTCCATGGTTGCAATTTTCCACCCCAAATACTGATTACGCTCATTTGCATACTTGACATACGTGATAATTACCTTAAGCTTGTCGTTATAAATTTAAAGAGTCATCTAATTAATCACGTCTAAGCTGAATGTAAGACCACAAACATTTGACTGCGAGCTTTAAAGTATCACACACATGGCTGAGAAGGTCATAGAGAGAAAGAAGGTCACATAGAGAAGGCAACAGAAATGCAACAAATACTATTAGCAGATAAACATAAATGCAGTAAAACAATGTAGCAGTCATGTACATACATATGTATAGTAGGAATGCCTGCTTAATTTATTTACATACAAAATTATGTGTATATATTTACGCCAGTTAATGGCTCGCCTTTGCTTTAATGTTATAACAGCGAGTGAAATGTCAATGCAAAGAGACAGATAGTCGTCCAACCGCTAATATTTGCCACAAAATGGCGTAAGCACAAATACTATTTATAGTAAGTATGTGTATGCAAATGGTTATGTGCGTAAATATACACCCATAAATATGCACATATATACATATGTATGTATGTAAATAGCTTAAGTACGCTAAATGCTTGCGTAAATAGTATAACCATAAAGGTACTTTGGAATTAGCATACACATGCACATACATAGAGGAGCATAGCCATGCCTACGTATATACGTATGTACATTAGGGCGGGTTGAAAAACACAAAATGGTTGATAAGAAGATTGTATAGCTCATAATAGGGTGCTATTTTAATTCCTTATTCTTGAAAATAAATCCTGGTTCCCTGCAACAATATCTTCAATCTGCGGAATGAGCTAGAAGAATTGAAAACAAGGGCGGGAATACCAATTTCTTAAACGACTTGTGTAGATCAAATCCGAAATTTATTTCCTATCATAAAATAATAAAAAAATTAAATTGGTCATATTAAAAGTAACTAACATCAATATTATAATAGATTAAAAAATTTAAATAATAAATTAAAAAATTAAGAAAGATTAAAAAATTAAAATAGTTAACTAAAAAATTAAAATATTACTGCTACTTACTTTTAGTTTGCCCAATTTATTTTTTTATGAGTTTATGATATGAAATAAATTCCTAATTTGATCTAAAGAAATCGTTTGTAAAAATATGAAAAATTCGTACTCCCACTCTTATTTTCAAATTTTCAAGCCCATTCCGCAGACTGAAGATATTGTCGCAGATAACCAGGATTTCTTGTCAAGAATAAAACATTTTGTGGTTTTCGACCCGCCCTAATGTACATATCGATAGCTGAGTGGAAGATGCACCTATCTCGGAAGTCAGTTCGAAAGCGCCCTATCTCATAAATTTTTTCAAGAACGCCCTACTTCAGAATTTGATTGAATATCGAACGAAACGAAAATACATTGAAAATGTATTGAGATAGGGCATTTTTGAATCGGCAGCTGTCAGATAGAGCGTTCTTCAACCAAATTCTGAAGTGGGGTGTTCTTGGAAAAATTTCTCAGATAGGGCGTTTTCGAACTGGCTGCCGAGATAGGTCGATCTTCCATTCAGCGATAGATATATGTATGCATTTGAGTTTGTGTGAAATAATTTCTGTGTATATTTTCATCCACTTTGTAAAGCTTATAGAAATTCGTTTGAATATTTGTATTTGTTTGTATATTTGTATGCTTGGTTGTTCGCCTTATCGCCGTAATGTCAATTTAGCTTCGGCATTGCATTAATTATTTGCCATTGTATGTGTTAAAATCAGATGAATGGACCAAATTCAAGCTGATAAATTGGTAAACAGAAAATGAGGCGTTCCGCTGCGGTTTGACTAAGCTTAATCTACAGTCACTCACATAAGTATTCGAAATTTAGTTTTTTCACAATATACAAAGTGTTTTCCGTCATAAATATTTTTCCTTAATTTTCATTTAATCTTGATCGTACCATGCAAATGTTTGTACACCGTTAAGTATTATGTTTAGTTTTCCCTACACAATTCATGTTTTTTAATACCAACTCATTGATTTATCGATTAAACCGCGTTGCGTTGACGTGACTGTTTTATTATTAATTTGCTGCACGCACATTGCGAGCAACTTTGAGATGGCTGATATTTGTTAAAGTATGACACGTATCCGATATGCAAGACATTCCTTGCCAACCGCAGCCCCCATTCTCTCCATTATGGGGACAATAGTTTGGGAATTTAGTAAAAATGTTTACCTTTAATTGGCAAGTGGCGTGTTTTGAAATCCACTATGGTGGAAAAGTGAAAAAAATGATTGTATTTATTGGAAATTTGTTAACCGCAAATTTTTTGAGGCGCTGATTACGAATCCGCTTTATCCGCCATTCTGAATTTTAAAAATTCATTATCAGGTTCGTAATCAGCGGCTCTAAACCGCCCCCCGAGTAGCGGATTTCAATTGATTCCAATCATTTTTCACCCCTTTGTCCGGCATTTTGAATTAAACAAAAACGCCACTCGTCATTTCAAAGCATTTTTAGAGAGAGAGAGGACTTTAATTGACGAATAATGCCTTATATTCATTTATGTATTTATTATAACACAAGTGTCTAGGCGTGTCTGCTAACACCAGGCGCCTAAATGCATGCTATGTGCAAAAATTTCCTTTATGCAATTTAAGAAATTTTTGCACATGCACTTCTCAACTGCCATATAATTGAACTTTTTTAAGTTTTAATTAGATGGCACTTCAAAGTATGCTCGGCCTAGTCTGATGCATCCCCCGGACACTGCTTTCGGAGAATTTTGCGGACTCTGCATGGTTGTAAGGTGGTCAACGAACTTTACCATTGGCCACAGTGCCCACCCACCATTTTTGAGCCAATAAACATTTTTTTGTTTTTTATAAAAATACATTCATGCAAACATACTGGTCTCCATTCTCACTGAGTTATTCTTAACACTTACCGAAGTGGCCGCACAGCCCAATCAAATCAATCGATTCAAATTGGTTTTAAGGTAGCACCGTAGCAGACATCTGTGTCCCTTTCGTAGGATACTGTTTTCCTTGTAGAAATTTCGAATCTGAAATAAAAGAAATATATTTAAAGTTAGTAATGTTACTAACAATATTAAGGGTAAAAAGTTTTTGAAGCGAACCCTTAGTAATGTGTTATTCTTTTTGATTTTCAAGAATGTTCCTTAAAGTACAACTGCACTATACCCAAAGTGGACATTTTCGGTGCTTAATTGAAATTTTAACTATTTACACGATTGACCTTACTTTCAATATCCATTTTTGTCATGGCACAGTTAATGATTTCATTTGATTCTCTACTCATGCTCATCAAAGCTCAAATGTTCTATGTTTCGATTTATATATTTTACTAGCAGACCCAGCGAAGTTCGTCCCGCCCAAAATTATAATTATTTTCTTATTGAAATTTTGTGGTCCAAGATTTTTACTAACAATTCAAGCTCACGATTTACAGTGACACATTAATGTGCTTTGATTATTGTTTGGTGGTCGTCACCAACATAAGGCCCCTTGATGTGGCCATAATCATTATTTCGAAGTCATGTTGGAGTTTTTCACTGACGGTTTGTTTTAAGACACCAGTTCAAAATTTTTGCGCACAATCAGAAATAAATAGCCCACCGCGCTAACGCTTACAGTTTTTTGGAGTTATTTCTCGCCGTTTAAGTTAGATAGGTTCTAACTATAAAACTAATCGGACCATAAATACGTACTTTCTAAATACTATAGATCGGACAAAAATTTTGTTGAGTTTTTTCTTTTATGGAAATAATATGCATTTCAAATAAGAACCAAATCGCACCACAAATACGGGAGTTTCAAATATTGCGACTCCTGCGCCACCTGGCATACAGATTGCAAAGTCGTCGGGTTCTGAGCCAAGTTTGAAGCATCGAGCCTCTAGCTGATCGGGAAGTGTTTTAAAAATTTATTGCAATATTTGATTACACACACGGGAGACTTAATAAAAGCTCTAAACAAATCACCTGTTTTTGTTTTAAAACACACAAAAAAAAAACACTTTCAAAAGTATAATATTTTTCATTTTCAATCACATTTAACATTTCCTTTAGCAAGTAATGAAAGGTTTCTCTATCCAATTTACCTATTTCATTCTTCATATCCCGACTGCTGGCTAATTGCCAATGTTAATATGGACATTATGTATATATGTTTCCACACACGAATACCTAAAAACAATACACTGCTTTCTCTAAGGCGTCCATGCCTTTATTGGGGTTTTCATAGCCTTGTCATTTTTATTCGTTCTACCCCTTGTCGTCTACATGTTGTGACTTCTAAACAACCGACTTGTCTGCAAATTTAAGCTAGCGTGTACTAATCAGTTTGTCAGTTTGCCAGTTTGTCGTTTTGTTGGTTTGTCAGTTTGCCAGCTCAGCGCTCGTTTACTCCCTCCAGTGTGTCGCATGCACTTTACCGATTGCTCACTTGCTGTTGGAGTTGACAGCTGATAGCTGGAGGCAGAACAAACCAGTTGACTCCCAAATGATTTCTTTGTGCATAAATCACGAAATTGCATCTTACGGTACAGATGACAAGGCGCATAGCTTTGCGTACAAGCATTCATACATGTGTGTGTGTGCATAGAATTGGAAATGCTTTGGATGGATTTGCGCATCGTTGTAGTTGTTTGTATAATCCTTGCTGGCATGCTGTGAATTCATTTGCTTTTGACTCGTGACTTGTTTGAAGATACATATATGTATATAGATTTCCTAAGGTTTCGAAGTTTTGAAAGCTATGTGCTTCCAAATTCCATTGTTCTTTCATCATGCATATGTATCAATTAAGTGTTAAAAGGTTTTTGTCAAGTTGGCCTTAATAAATTTAAAATTAAATTTAGACTTGGATTCTTTGAAATAGTGTAGAGTTGTGATTTCAAATAATAATTGAATGGTTTCTTTGTACCAACATAAATAGCAATTTAAGAGAATTGATTAGGTAATCGTCGGCGCAGGAGATGACAGCGAAACAGTAGTGGAGATAAAGGGCATCTTGCTTTGAGTTGACCTGTTTTATTTAATTGGCTGTAGAAGATTGATCTCGAAAAAAGACTGACAAATGTCGACTGCAAAAATAATTCATCTACCATTGTTTTACAAGCAATTCTGGCTAAAGTACTTGCAAGTCTTTTGTAAGAAAACTGATTGCTAAAGGGAATAAGTCATCATTTTTCGATTTGGCAATTTTGATGCAGTCCGGTTCGTTTAATGGAGCTCTATTGAACTGCATAAAATTTGCCTTTGGTAATTAATCGATTCAGCTTGAAAGATTTCTTTTTATTCTGGCAAGGAAGTCTTACAAAAAAGCTTCCTTACCGACTGTCACGATGAAAAGCTCCTTCGACAGAAAGCATTTAAGCATGTTCTAAATGGAGATTCATTAAACTTAGTTTGTTTGTGCTGCTTCAACAGTCGCAATGGCCGAGCGTGCAAAACATTGGCGTGCCATTCGAGAGATCCGAGGCTCAAATCCATGGGCAGCGAATTGTTTTTTCTTCTTCTAACAAAATGTTTGTCTCTTTTTTAATGTTAAGTTTACAGTTTTTAATATGCTTTGTTTTAATTTTAAGATTTTATTGGTTTAAAAAGAATTTTCAATTTTTTTTTAAATTTTTTTTTTAATTTTAATATCTTGTTTTAGGCATTTTTTCTTTTTTACAACGCTTTTATCAATTTGGCCTCCACGTTTTTCGTTTTCAATCTCATAAATTGTTTATAATGGTGTAACCTTTGCCTTTTCAATTCAATTTTTTTCTATTTAGTTTTCTTTTAAGTCTTAGTTTTTATTGTTTGTAATTTCGTTTCTTTTTTCAATTTAATTTTTGATTTGTCTATTTTTTTTAATTTTTTGTAAGGTTTAGATTTGATTGTTTTAAAAATAAAATAATTTAAATTTTTCAGTTTAATTTTTTTATTTTTTAAATACATTTTCCTTTTATATCTAGATTTTATTATTTTAAAAAGAAAATATATATTTTTTTTTAATTAAAGTTTTAAAATCTTATTTTGTGTGTGTTTTTTTAGTTTAATATTTTTTTGTCTTTTACTTTTTAGTTTTTATTTTGTTTTAATAAGAAACAATTTTTTTCTTAATTAAATATCCTTTCAATTTTTAGATGTTATTGTTTAAAAAAGTAAAATATATATTTCATTTAAATTCTAGAAACCTGTTTTATTATTTTTTTTTTGGTTTAATGTTTTCGGATGGATAGAAGCTCCACAGTTTACCAAAGCATACTCACACCAAAGGCGAAGTCGCTTGTCCTAAAGTGCTTTTAGCACTTTTTACGCTAATGCTGGTTGCCCAATTACCGAACCTCCAAGTTCACATCCCTAGTATCGTAAATGGTCACGATATGTCGATAGGACAGCAAGCTGTGAAATTAGGGCAGATTAACGAGAGTCTACCGGAAGGTATGAAGCGTGGCATTTCAAGCGGACCGACGTTCGCCAAATTTAACATCCATTGGTATGTGTAGAGTGGCAAAAGTGTTATATGTGTGAGCAAAGCACTGACCACACATTCGCTGGTTGATTGGCTCATCCATCATTATACGTTGACGTGAAAGAAAAGCATAAAAATAAGCATGCAGACTGGGTGCGAATGGAAAACCTGACAGAATCGCGCTAAGATGGCTGCTTAGAAAAAGTAAAATTTTTGGTGCAGTTGTTAAAAAGAAATTGGTTAGCAATATGGTAGGGGAAATAACCAGAAAGTCTAAAGGGTGATGATATGAATTGTTAGTGCAGAAAAATCATACAGCTGTATGCTTATGTATGACTATAAAATATATCAGTCGTTTCGGAAAATAGAAAAGCACACACACTTCATTCGCTTGATTATTTATACTTACTATGTGCATATGTATGTGTAAAAATAATATTTATGTATGCATATTCAGACCTTGCTTAATATGTGTACATACATATGTACATTTGTATGTACGCATATAGCATAAAGGCACTTAGTTAGATGGAAAACTGCATTCGGCAGTTTTAATTAAAACGTGCTGCCGCCCACCATTGTTAAGAAATACATATAGGTATATTATGCAAAACTTTAGGGAACCATGAAAATTGATTGCAAAAATTTGAAAAGCATACCATCGAAACAGCTAATACCAATATATGGTAAAAATTTGAAAAGGAAAAAAAAATAATAATTCAAATACAGTAAAAAAGATTTACGAAGAGTGCATGAATAGCATGGGGAAATATGAATCCGAAAAATTTGTAAAAATAGTAAAAGGAAATGGCTTTAATTTCCATTGAATATTATGTATCTACATATGTACATACATACATACATGTATGCCCCACTGCCGTAAACTATATCCAAAACTGACTAGACGTACCAACGTCCATGAATATTATCGTAACTCTTTCGCATAAAATTTGTGGGATGGCACTAACTATATTGACTTTAATTATAGTAGCCCATTGCCGTGTATTTATATACACCTGCGAATATACAAACCTCCACAAGACAAAGTCTATTGGGCTAAAACCGCATGACTTTGGTGCTTAAGCCACGTCAGGTCGTCCTTCAAATCGTTCATTTTGGCGAACGCTGTGTGGCACAAAGCACCGTACAGGTGGAGTCACAGCTCAACCCTGTCGTATTCCTTATTTCTTGCTCCTTGTACAAAGTTCAAAAATGCCCTATCTAAGCTGAAAATACATTGAAAGTATGCTGTGATAGGGCGTTTTTGAATCAGCAATTGAGATGGGGCGTTCTTCAAAGGTTTTCTTAGATGAGCGTTTTCGAACTGGCTGCCGAGATAGGTCGATCTTCCACTCAGGTACATAACTATATAAGCCTAAATATGTAGATGTACAGGGTGCGTCAGGTATTTGAGGACATTAGGACTTTTGAACTTGAATTTATACATATATCGTCGCTACCATGTGAAACTATCGAATGTGGAAATGGGTACTGTACAGGAGAGCAAAAAAGCTGTTTACAAAATGTTTTTGTCATTAGAAAAAAATATGGGAATCGACACTTT